TTAGCAATGAAACTGAATCAGTTATCAAAAATACCCAAAACTCCAGGAGCAGAAAATTTCACAGGTGAATTTTACTAAACATTTAAAGTAGAGTTAATACCTATCCTTCTTAAGCTATTCACACAAATTAAAGCAGTGTTTCCAAATTCATTCTACAAGGCCAGCATTACTCTGTTAGCAAAACCAGAAACACTACAAAAAAATTATAGGCCCATATTCCTGATGAGCAGAGATGCAAAAATCCTCAACCACGTATTAGCAAACCCAATTCAAAAACTTATTAGAAGGATCATTCACCACAATCAAGTGGGAAACCAACATTACAGTACATTAACAAAATGAAGGATAAAAATCAGATTATCACGATAGATGCAGAAAAAGCACTTGACAAAAATCAAACATCCATTTATGATAAAGATTCTCAACAAAGTGAGTACAAAAGGAACATACCTCAACATAATAAACACCATGTATGGAAAGCCACAGGTAACATCATACTCAACAATGCAAAGCTGAAAACGTATCCCCTACAACCAGGAACAAGACAAGGCTATGTTCACGCCCATCACTTTTATTCAACATAGTACTGGAAGTCCTAGCCAGAGAAATTAGACAAGAAAGAAACGGCATCCAAATTGGAATGGAAGAAGTAAAACTGTCTCTATGTGCAAATGCTATGACATTAAATACAGGAAACCCTAATTTACAAAATTAATATACAGACATCTGTTGCACTTCTACACAATAATGAATTATCAGAAAGAGAAATTAAGAAAACAATTCCATTTACAATTGCATCAAAAATAGTAAAATGCCTAAGAATAAATTTAACCAAGAAGGTGAAACATCTGTACTGTGAAAATTATAAGGCACTGGTGAAATAAGTTGAAGACACAAATGGAAAGACATACCATGCTCATGGATTGGAAGAATTAGTATTGTTAAAATGTCCATACCACCCAAAGCAATTTACACATTCAATGTAATCCCTATCAAAATACCAAGAGCATTTTTTCACAGAAATAGAACAATCGTAAAATTTGTACGGAACCACAAAAGACCACGAATAGCCAAAGCCATCTTGATAAAGAACAACAAAGCTGGAGGGATCATCCTCCCACATCTCAAGCTACACTTCTAGTCAACAGTAAATCAAAACAGTATGGTACTGGCACAATAACAGACACACAGATCAAAGGAACAGAACAGACAGCCCAGAAATAAATCCACACATATATGGTAAATTCATCTACAAAGGAGGCGGCAAGAATATACCACAGAGAAAAGACAGTCTCTTCAATAAACAGTGTTGGAAAAAGTGAACAGCTACATGAAGAAAAGAATGAAACTGAACCACTTTCTTACACCACATACAAAAAGAAACTCTAAATGTAAGACCTGAAACTATAAAACTCCTAAAAGAAAACATAGGCAGTAAACTCTTGGGTATTGGTCTGAGCAGATTTTTGTGTAAGTCTCCTCAGGCAAAAGCAACAAAAGCAGAAATAAAAAATTGAGACTGCATTGAACTAAAGCCTTTTGCACAGTGAAGGAAACCATCAACAAAATGAAGCAACCTACTGAATGAGAGAAAGTATTTGCAAAGGGTGCACCCAATAAGGGGTTAATATCCAAACATACAAAGATACATCCCTACAATGGAATATTCAGCAATTAAAAATAAAGTGTACTAATAAACACAACACAAATTTTAAATGTATTATGCTAAGAAAAAGCAGCCAAACTAAAAAAAAAAAAAAAAAAAAAAAGGCAACATACTGTACGATTGCATTCATAGGACACTCTGGAAGGGCCCAACTAGTGTTGGAGATCATACCAGTCGTTCCCGTGAGTTCAGGGAAGGGTAGAGTCTGACCAAAAAGAGCGCAGAAGGGAGGTTCTGTTCGGTGATGGTGCTTTTCCACACTGTGGTTGTAGTTGTGATTATACAGTATAGCAATGTGCATTTATCAAAACTCATAACATATGCAAGAGAGTGATTTTTACTGTATATGGATTTTTGATCTTAATGTAGAAAATGAGACCGAAAGAGACAGAGGCTTCTGCTTCCTTTGACATCAGCTCTCTCTGGATGAGAGACAGCATTCATTTAACAAATGTGTAAGACCCATAAAAAAATACACCAAGTATACAACAGTAAACAAAATAGATATCCCTGCCCTTGGGTCGTTCAGTCGACTTGAATAGACAGTGTCTGAGGAGTAGGAAAACAGAGACCAAGTGGTGTGAACAGGCTGCCATCTTTAAATATAACAAAACCCCTCCCCTCAACTATTCTACCCCCTTCACCTGCAGCCTTATTATATGTATTAAACCATCCACAGGCAAACTTCATCAAAGAGTTGTCTACCCTCACTAATGCCCCACCACCTTACTCCCTCATATTATGGAAACTGTCCTCATCTGGGTCACCAAAGAGAGGTTACTCCTCAGTCATTGTTTTACTTGACTTCTCAACAGCTTTTTGACTCTGATGATCACTCCTTCTTCTAGAAACGCTCTGTACCCTTGACTCTTCTAGCTTTCCTTGACTCTTCTACCTCTCTCTGACTGTTCCTTCTCAACCAGTGTTCTCATTCCACAAGGCTCAGTCCTACCCTTGGGCCCATACTTTGCTCTATGTGCTCTCCCTTGAAACTCTCATTCACATCTAGCCTCAACTGACACCTAATTATTGTTAAGTCCCAAGGTCTCTCTGCCACTTAGAGCTCTTCTCAAAGCTCTGAACAGATAGATCCAACCACTATTCAAGATCTCACTTGGCACAAAATGGCTCAGATGGCTCAAAAACACCTCAACTCTGTACGTTCAGCATCTGACATATGAATTCCCCTACCAAACCTTTCCTATTCACATTTCTCCGTGTCTGTCCTGGCATGCAGTTCACATGCAGAAACCCAGGAGTTATCTTTGACCTTCCTCCAGCTACTTTGCAAGGAACACCTACTCATTTCTTAAATCTCTTCCAAATTTTTCCACTTTACTCCATCCCTACTGCCTCTACCATAGTCCAGCAACTACCTGGTAGCTTTATAACTACTACCTGTTCTCACCACATCACTTGAATTCCTTCCAACCCAGTTGGTTTTTCAAAATGTAAATTTGATCCCCATCGCCCCTTCCTTTCACAACATAAAAGGTTTCCCATTACAGTTAGGACAAAGCCCAAATCCTCACTAGGTCTGGCCCCACCTCCAGCTCTTGTCCCATCCTTCTCACTCACTCCCTTTGCTCCAGACAAGTAGCTTCCTTTCATTCCCTCAAAGGTACCATGCACTCTGCCACCACAGGGACTTTGCACAGACTGTCCTTCTTTGGGCTGCACTCCTCTCTCCTTGATCCCAACATTAACTAGGATGCCTCTTCATCAGATCTTCGCTCCAGTAACAAGTCAACAGAGAAGGCTTTCTTTACCCTTAAGTCTAGGTCAGATTCCCGGATTTTTTTTTTTTTTTGGAGCATAGGTTTCCATTTAAAATTATGCAATCATTAATGGGGTCTTTTGATTCTGTCAATCACCAACACTAGTACCACAAGCTCCAGGAGAACAGGTACTTTGCATTTTGCTCAACATTGAAAAACTAGCATCTAACACAGTAGCTGCTTTATAGTAGGCACACAATAATGGCTAAAGATTGGACTCTGCAGTCCCACAAAATGAGGTATGTATAATATCCTACATGTCCACACTCTTTGTAATAGTAAAGTACTGGAAACCAACCTAACCACCTATTAACAGAGGACCTGATCAAATATATTGTGACACATGCACACAATGGAACACACTAGGCAGCCTTTAAGGCAACTTTATCTGTATTGATATAGAAAGATCTTCAAGATGTACTTATGAATAAAAGCAATGTACAGCAAAGTGTGCATAGTGGGCTACCATTTGTGTCAAAGACAACAGTAAATAATACAAGTTTGAATTATTTGTTGGATGGAAATACTCCAACATTTAGAAGAAACTAGTAACAGTAGCTACTTGTCTGTAGAGTAGGTGGGAACCAGGTTGGGCGGGCATCAGAGGTGGGAGAGAAACCCCATTGACTACCATTTTACATTTCTAGATTCGGGGACTCATGCGAGCCACCTACCATGTGCAAAGTAATTCATCAACCCATAAAAATAGCCCTTGTCCCATGGGATACCTCAAACCCCACATCAGAATGCTCCCAGCAGTCTGTCACACTGTCCTAAAAACATCTCGGATGGGAGACTGGGACTGGGGCCACCTCCTCTACTGACACAGTCCTACATCATCCCAGCTCCAGTATGGCAATGCCATTTGGGAAAGGGACAGTCTTCAAAATCTCCCTCCAACTCTGGCATCTGTCCCAGATGGGCAGATCCTTTTTATATCTTCAGACCCCAAATTATCTTAACCCTTACAATTCTACAACCACTTTAGCCACCCTGTACCTCTAGGTCTTCACAACTAGAGTTAACAATCATGAAAGTGTTAGCTAGGACAACCATTTCTTTGAGGACTTTTTCTTCTCCCTTAGAAGAGTCCCTAGAGCCTTATGCAATCAATAACAGTAATGATATAATAGTCCTAACAGCTCTCATGTACTGAGTACTTTGCCAGGCACTAGGGTAAAGGCTTTAATATTTTTTTTTACATAGTTAAATCATATTGCATCAACCCTATGATGTAGATTGTTTCCATTTCACAGGAAAGGAAACTGAGGCCATATGCCAACCTTCATTCCATCTGTTCTCTCACTTTATGAGGAACCCCTAACCGAGTAAAGCCTCAGGAATCCAGTTTATGAGCAGTGTTTGGGGTTTGTTTGGTTTTTGGTTTGGGTTTTTTTTTTTTTTTTTTTTTTTTTAACTGCCAGGGTAACAGGAGGGATAATACTCTTTGGTCTGGGCTTCTGGAAGAGCACTCTTGACTCCTTTGGTCACAGAATTCAGACAAGATGTAGTTGGTCTATTATTTTGCTGTGACCCAGGGAACAGCCAGTTCTTACCCTATTGTCTTCCTGGATCTCCCAGTCACTGGAAAAAGTTGCCAATTGCTGCCCTTGAGAACAGTTTGAAAACTGGAAAAGGCTGGAAAACATCCTTCTGTTCTCTTGAGTGTCTGGAAAGATGGCATCTTGGAAATTGACTCCGTGCGGCAAGAGATTATAATTCTCATCCATCCTAATGGGGAAAAAAAAGAAAAAAGCAGAACTGTACACTGGACAGCCATAGGGTATAGCAGCCTTAATCAAGAGTTGTAAAGACTGACAGTCTTGCCCTTACACAACTAGATCTCACATGGCTCTCATTAGAGGACTTAACTATTTCTAAATGTTTCTCTGCCTCACACTACAGGAGTCTGTCCTTATCTTTTGCCAGAGGGGAGTTTAGGTGAAGGGTTGTGGGGCGCGGGGGGGGAGATGCATATGTGTCTACTTGTAGATCTCCCAAGTGGCCTTCTTTCTCACCGAGTGTTCCTTGTTTCTTGACCAAAGGAAAGCCAGTTCTAAGGACCCAGGTTTGAATCCTGCCATTGCTACTGATCTATCTGAAGAGAGATGAATTTCCTCGATTATCTAAGCTTCACTATTCCAGACAAAGATGAGGAGAATAGCACTTTCTTGCTGGTAGTGGAAGGACTGCATTAGATAAAGTGGCATACAGTGAGTGCGGTACGGATTTTAACATTTTTATAGAGCTAAGAATAAATCACCTGTTAGAAAGATAAAGAAATCACATAGAGAAGAAGTCGAAGTTACCCTCCAGCACAAAGAGGGGATGTAGGGCTCACCAGGGAGCCTCCACTGCCACTTTCCCCTGTGACACTGCCCAGAATCTGTTCTTGTCTCATTGGGTCCCAGAATAACAGGGGAGGAATGATTTGTATGCAGTTGTTAACTTCAGGGCAACACAGCCCTGTGAAATGGAAATCTGTCAGACTACCAGTTGACTCTATTTCTGCCCTAACTTTTTGTAAATATGTCAGAGGGAAAGATTAAAGAGTTGGCTGACCACCACAGAGCCACTGGACAAAGCTCTTTCATGATAAAAATCAGGAAAAAATAACGTCTGCTCAAGTCCTCCAGCTCCTTTTGCTTTGGAAAATAAAGTTTCAGTGATTAATAGCTTTATAGCTGGGGTCTCAGTGTCCTTCCTAAAGAGAAACATGAAAAATCTGAGTTAAGTTTCTCTATATCAAGAAGGATACTAGTTCACTCCTTGCAGACTTTATTTAGAAACTATACTTCCCCAGCAATTAAAAAGAAAGAAAAGAAAAACAACTCAATCTCATTAAACCACTCAAGCCAACACAAAGCACGCCGTGTATTCTAAACTTAGAGGTTCTGGCTTCAATACGGGAAACATGTGTTGCCATGAGCTTATGAACGCCCCTCGGTGGGTCTTACGGTTTCCTTAGAAGGATGTGAAATCTCAAGAGGTTAAAAGTGAATCCGCAGACTGGGGTCATAGCCATTCCAAAAGTCCTTGTTGCCTCTTCAGGGACTGGGAAGACTGGAATCATTGCCAGTCTCAACTGTGGATTAATTCACTCACTAGCTTGATATGTAGGTTACATTCCAGTTCAAGGCTTCTCTCAGCTGCTCTACATCACTCTAATTCAGCGGGAGACAGCCAATGCATTTAGGGTTCCACCTGCTTCAAACCCATTGACTGAATTCTTATACACGCGAATTCTGTCTTGACTGCGGGCCAACTTTCATGGAACTTGACAGGATTCCAGGAGCCTCCAGTCAGAGAGAACCTCCTGCCTGCTTCACGGATCCTCTTCAAAGCACTACAAGCCAGGTCTTCCCCTCCTCCCCCAGCAGGCCCCCACATAAACCTTTGCTATTTTGAAAAGCCCAACGCTGAGGTCTGCTGGTGGTGGGTAAGGGGGTGAAACAAAGGGACAGCTGCGCTGCATTCCACACCATGCCTATCTTGGCATTTCAGCAGGTGGGGAAAAGAGTGACTCTTCCCTCTGCAGCTAACCTGCACCAGGTGTTCTGCATAACTGTGCGTTGGTCTCACCAACCTGGTGTCTCACATTATGGAACTGAGGATCCAGAGGTTCTTCAAAAGACAATTTGCTCAAAAATCACAGGAAGAGCAGAGCCAAAATTCCAACGAGAATCTGATTTCAAAGTCTGGTGTTTTCCCCCCTCACCATCCCAAGCTACTCCCAAGGAATCCAATTAAAAGTATAAATTTTAAGAAGAGTCAAATGGATTTTGGGAAACTATCTTGGGCTTTTGCCTGAAACACTTCAACGCTTTAAGCACTGAAATCACCCCTGTTTGGGGGTTTGGTTTGGTTTTGTTTTTTAACAGCCTTAGCCAAATACACCCCAGGACCTTTGTCGAGACGTCCCACGGAGCAGGAGAGAACAAAGAGTAAGGAAAGGAGCCCAAGGCGTATTCCAAAATGGTACGGGCAGGATTCCCTGTTGTTCCTGACCTGGCTCCGGATAACGGTGCCCTCGGGAGGTCGCGCGGATAGCTGGAGGAGAAGGAGTGGGCAGGAGGTGCCGCGCTCACCTGAGGAAGAAGAAATACGAGTAGTCCTGGACCACGGTGTGGGAGTGACACGAGAAGTAGCCCAGGCCAGTGAGGTTGAGTCTGGAGCCCGCGGGCACCTCGAGCATGCTGCCCCACGCCTGGTCGCACAGCATCTCGATCTCGGCGGAGTAGAAGAGCCCCGCGTCGCTGGCCTCGTACTGCCACGGCAGGTAGTTGTACAGGCCGTGCACCTCCTGGTGCAGCGCCAGCACCTTGGCGTACACGATGATCTCCGCCAGCTCGGCGCGGCAGCCCTCGCTCAGGGGTCTCCACTCGGAGGGCAGCTGACAGCCGCGGGCGGTTGCAAGCCGGCCGGCCAGGCAGAGCGCCGCGAGCAGCAGCGGGCGCAGCATGCCGGCGGCGGGAGCGGGCGGCCGGCGCGGCCGGGGTCGGCGCTGCGCCCTGGGCGCACTAGCCTGGGCGCATGGCGGGGGCTCCCGGGACTGGCAGCACAGAGCGGGGTGGCGCGCGGCCGCCGCGAGCGAGAGGCGTCGGCGAGCCGGGAGCGCCCGCCCCGGGGCCGACAGCGCCGCCCCGCCGGCCGGCGAAGCGCAGCCCTGGGCGCTGGGCTTGGAGCGCCGCTCTCCCAGCCGCCGAGCTTACGGCGCCCGGCCCTCGCCCGCGGCGCTTTAAAAGGTCTCGGGGCGGGCCAGCCGCCCGCCTCCTGCCCTGCCCCCCGCGACGGGGCGTGGGCGGCGGCGGGACAGGGCGGGGAGGCGGCCGCGGCGGAGGTGGGCCCCCGGCCAGGGGCGCTCGGCAGCCGCTGCGCGCCGTGTCGGTCCCGGCCCCCACCCCTCCCCAGGCCCCCGCGCGGAGCTGGGGGGAGTGCGCGGGCTGCGCGAGAAGGTCACTCGCTGCCCGGAGCGGCGGCGCAGCCCTTGTCCCGCGCGCCCCACGGATGCGCTGGGTTAAAGCTTTCCAGGCGGAAAGCCTGTTCCAAACGCGTGGCCTCCTGACAATGATCGTTGTTGCTTTGCATGATTCCTCCGTAGAGGCGTTTAAGTTTTCTGCGTAGTTCTTTTAGGGTCGAAATGCGTAGAAATCAAATCTGACTTCTGCTTCGCGGAGGTGAGTTAGGAAGTTCAGCGTGGGCTAATAAACTTTTTTGGAGAGCTCTCTCTCTTTCGCTCTCTTTCGTGTTGCTTATTATTTCATGATAATCCTAGGAAAGCCCTAATAAAAGATTTGAGGAGCCGTTTTGTCCTGATTTTCCTAAAGCTGCATGATTTATATAATTCCTACTTCCAGATTCTGCTACACCTGTGGAACAAATGAGGAAGTAAATTCCAACCAGCTTTTCACAAGTCAATGGGTGAGTCTGATGAGACTCAGGCTCAACAGTCTCTCTCTCTCTAAACTCAGCAGCTCCTTTTATCTCCAGATTGCCCTGAGTGTTCTAATGTACTAAGAAGAAGAAAAAACACGATGTTTATAACTGTATCTATAATATTTTTATATGTATTACATCTTACATATAATCATGCATGTAATATGCATTCCATGGTACATGTCATATATAGTATGTAATATATACTTATAATAAACGTATAAGCAGAACTGCATTAAAATGGAAGACTCTTTGTCCTGTAAGCATCTTATTTACTAGGGTTTCTGCAAGTCTGCGTCTTGGAACCCAGCTAAATCCTTCCATACACTGAGGGGAAAGTTCTTAGGGAATTCTGGAAGGAAAGGTAAGGAGAAAAGAGCATAACGAAGCAGGAGAGGAAGTTTCAAGGCTGGGCCTCGCCTCCCTGTGACCCCCAAATCTTCTTCCTGTGATCCCTAAATCTTCCGGTAGGGCAATTTAATTCATGAATGCTCATTGTGACCGTAGTCTGAAAGGCAACTCTGTGGTCCAGATCCCACCCCTGCAGGACAGGGACTCCGGAGGAAAAAGCCGTGAGAAGGGCAGCCTCAGGCAATAGGGGGACAACCAAGGGAGGCCTTTGGGCATCCCCAGAACTGGAATGATCAGTACTCCAGCCAGCACTGCCCAGCTGGTGAGGGTATGGGAGGCTCCAGCTGACATGCAATCTCATTAGCCCAGAATCTGATCAGTGACTCAGTCAACCAAGTTCTTATTCCTACAAAGTCCGCTGTGATGAGCCTAAAAGCAGGAAAGAGTGAGGGCTTCTCACAGATAATAACTAATGAGCCTAAAAGCAGGAAAGAGTGAGGGCTTCTCACAGATAATAACTAATACCTGCATATCTCTAGTAGTCAGCCTAGGGCTTTGATGAATTTTGCAGAAAAAAACAGTTATCATTAGAAGGAATCAAGTGAACAGTAGTCCTGATGGTGTATATGACCCCCTCACACATATACACATGCCCCATGGTAGATACCAGACTTTCACATGATAGGTAAATGGTGTTCAAGGATGACCTTCGACACCATGTGTCAGCACTGCTCACTTGTCTCTCACTGAACATGTAAATTAGGAAACTTTATCATGTCATGGTCTTAGCCAGGGCTGCCATGACAAAATACACAGACTAGGTGGCTTAAACAACGGACATTTCTCTTGTTACAGTTCTAGAGGCCAGAAGTCCAAGATCAAGACGTCATCAGGGTTGGTTTCTGGGGAGGGCTCTCTTCCAGGCTTGTAGACAGCTGCCTCCCCTCTGTGTCTTCACATGGCCTTTTCTTTCCTGCATGCAGAGAGAGAGAGAGAGAGATCTCTGATGTCTCTTCCTCCTATAAGGACACCAGTCCTATCAGATTAGAGGCCCACACCCATGTGACCTAAGGAAGTAATTACTTCCCTAAAGTATTCATCTCCAAATACAGTCTCAGTGGGGGTTAGGGATTCAACTTGTGAATTTGGGCGGGGGAGGGAAGGAGATAGAATTTGGCCCATTACAGATGTTAACAGGCATTCTGCAGGTTTGCCACAGAGAGAGGGGATATAAAATGGTTTGTATTCCCGGCAAGCAGACTTTGAGCAAGCATTGCCAAATTATATTAACAATTGCTAGCATGTATTCATTGCTTACTGTGGGCCAAGCACTACTGTAAGGACTTTGAATGTGTTACCTTAATTAATCCTTCAAACAACACTCTGAAGTACATATGCCTTCATCCTCATCTTGTAGATAAGGAAACTTAGTCACAGAGAGATTAATTGACGTACCCCAGATCACAGAGCTGGAACGTGACTGAGCGGGGATTCAAACCCCAGCATCAGACTCTGGAGTATGTGCGTTTAACTACAACATGAGAATATGGACAAAATAGGCAATGTTTTAAAGGTGCAAGTGGACCGTTCATCTAGAAGTGAATATATGCATAGTAATAACCTTAGCATAATCACCAAGGATCGCTAAAGCAGTATGTCATTGGACTAACATTAATTTTGTATTAACCAGCAACCCTGCTCCGTGTTAGTCTTATGCTGTAACTTATACAGACAAGATGGTAAGCAAGCTTTTCATTTGCATCTTCAAGCATCTCAGAAGGCTGGGAAAGATTTGTCCGCTCAACAGATCATAAAACCCTGACTTTTCTTTCCAATCAGACAAGCAAATAAAAAAAATCTGTATGCATGGCTGATTTCTCTCTTTTATAAACTTGACAGAATCCAAACTCTTCCAGTCCTACCCAGAATGTATTTTCCAGAAACGAGCACTTTTGAGAGATTATCTTTCTCCTGTATTCTTCACAGAAACGTCAGTCATATTTCTCTTCTCCTCTGTCAGGTCAGGCAGAGTGCCACACTGATTGGGGTGATTTACCTCGGGCCATGAAGGTGTCCTCTGGTGAGCATCTTCTCTTTGGGGACTAAGAATTCCATACAAGCAGAGCGCAAGGTAGCCAGGGTGGGTAGCAAAAATTCTATCAATGAATGATTGGACTTACCAGTGAATGAGCCACTTCCACTCCTTGATTCCAAGACCCGTATGTTCTGACTGTGGGGAAACAGCATCCTGGATTATTCTCTGTTTCAAAGCACACCTGGTATTCTTTTTTTTTTTTTTTTTGATTTTTTTTACTTATTTGAGAGAGAGAGAGCACAGAGGCAGAGGGAGAGGGAGAAGCAGACTCCCCGCTGAGCAGGGAGCCCAACACAGGACTCGATCCCAGGACCCTGAGATCGTGACCTGAGCCAAAGGCAGAGACACTTAACTGACTGAGCCACCCAGGCACCCCCTGGTATTCTTTAATATAGCACCCATTCCTTTCAGGATATGACTCTCAACTGACACAAAAGAGTGTTCAGTGAGCCATTCTATCACATTAGTGAGCTTTCAAAATTTGTCCAGTTGATTCTAGTTGATGCAGTATAAGAGAAGACCAGTTAATTCCATGGCCAAGAGCCCACTGCTGCATTCCCTTTGCTATAAAAGAAGCAATGCTATGGAAATCACTGATCAGAAACCGTGCTGTGGGAGATACCATGATGCGGTATAAGGGGTTCTATGAGTCCATAGATAGTGCTACTGGCAGAGGCATTGTGGGGCAGGGAAGGTGTGTCCAGGTCCAGAATGTGCCAATTCCAATGAGGACAAATCTCTGTCCTCTCCAAGATGGAAGAGGTCCAATGTAATCGGCCTGCCACCAGGTGGCTGGTTGGTTCCCCCAGTGAATGGGACCATATTAGGGGATCAGTATTGGTCTCTGTTGCTAACACAGTAGGCTCTCAGCAGCGGTGTTTGCCAGGTCAGCCTTGGTAAGAGCAAATCCATGCTGTCAAACCAATGCATAGCCTCTAATCCTACCATGGCCACTCTTTTCATGGGTCCATTGAGCAAGCACTGGAGTGGCTAGGAAGAGAGAATGATATCCACAGAGTACATGATTTGTCCACCTAATTACTGAGAGCTTCTCTTCAGTGAATGCCTTTGGTCCTCATTTACATGGGACACAAACATCTTTGTAATCTGACCATTCCAAGAGGTCCATCACAGACCTCTTCCCCAGACATCCTTGTCGCCCATTTCCCAAATCTATTTCTTTCAAGGCCGTGGCAATCTGTGATGGTTAATTTTATGTATCAACTTAAATGGGCCACAGGGCACCCGGATTAAACATTATTTCTGAGTGTGTCTGTGAAGATGTTTCCAGATGAGATTAGCATTTGAATCAGTGGACTCAGCAAAGTAGGCAGCCCTCCCCAATACGGGCCAGCCTCATCCAAACCACTGAGGGCCTGAAGAGAACAAAAAGTGGAGGAAGGAGGAATTTGCAACCCCATCTTTTTCCTCCTTGCATCACTCCTTTAGCTGGGACATCTCATCTCATCTTCTCCTACCCTCGGAATTTACACCATTAGGTTCCCTGCTTCTCAGGTCTCAGTCTTGGACTCAGACTGATACATACCACTATTTTTTGAAAGGAAAATAGTCATATCCAG